GTCAAGGAGGCGGGATGAGGGGGTGGGGAGATTTTGAAGCTTATGAAGTCCACATTGAGACCACTGGGCTGTAGGGTTCCCAAGTGGAATATGAGGTGCTGTTCCTCCAGCCTTTGGATGGCATCGTTGTGACACTGGAGGCGGCCCAGGATGGACATGTCGTCCAAGGAGTGGCAGGGGGATTTGAAGTGGTTCGCAACTGGGAGGTGTTGTCGTTTGTCACAAACCGAGCGTATCTGGTCCCTCGTCCGCTCCACTTCCCACTAGCCCCACCATCCCTGGCACTTTTCCCTGCAACTGCAGGAAGTACTATACGTGCCCCTACGCCTCCCCCCATCACCTCGAACCCAGGCCCCAAGAAAACCTTCTACATTAAACAGATGTTCACTTGCACATCTGCTAATGTGGTATATTGTATCTGCTGTTCCCGATGTGGCCTCCGCTACATTGGGGAAACCAAGCAGAGGCTTGGAGGCGGCTTTGTGGAGCACCTACGCTCAGTTCGTGACAAACGACAACACCTCCCAGTCGCGAACCACTTCAAGTGAAGGCGATCAAAGGTGCCTCAGCTCCCATGACTGTACCGAAGCTTAGGAATGTAGTGATTGGAACGAGATTGGCCAGATGGATCTCTTTGGCCATGAGTTTGCTTATTGGGGCTGTTAACCTGGGCCAATCAGGGAGTCCTGGTTGATCAATATAAACAGGGGTCTCAGAAACTTTCCTCACTTGAGGGACAGGCTCTGAGATAGCTGGTCAAAGTCCACGTACTGTGCACGTGCGGATAAAGAGTGACTTGGTGACAGGATACCAGCCTCCATACAGTTATTTCAGGCTGATAAGTGGCAAGTATCATTCGTACCACACAAATGTCAGGTAATGATCATGTCCAAAAAGAGACAGACAATCTAATCACTGCCCCTTGACAGTCGAGGTGTTACCACCACTTAATCCTCCACTATCAACATCTTGGGGGTTAGAATTGAACACAAGCTCAACTGAACTCACCATATACATATGGTGACGATAAGGGCAGGTCAGAGGCTAGGAGTGAGTAATTCACCTCCTGACTCCCCAAAGTTGTCCATCAACTGCAATGCGCAAGTCAGGAGCATGATGGAAAACTTCCCACTTGCCTGGATGGATGCAGCTCTAACAACACTCAAAGCAGCTTGACATCTTCAAGGGTAAAGGAGTCTGCTTGATTGGTACCATATCCACAAGCATCCATTTCCTCCACCACCGACGCTCAGTAGCAGCAGTATCATCTTCAAGATGCAGGGTAGAAATCCTTAGATTTCAAAAATTCTTAGACAGCACCCCTCAAATCCATGACTACTTTTATGTAGAAGGTCAAGGACAGCAGATACATGAAAAACAACCACCTCAAAGTTCCCTCCAAGCCACTCACCATCCTAACTTGGAAATATATTGCCGTTCCTTCGCTGGGTCAAAATTCTGGAATTACCCCCTAAACAGCATTTGGGGTCTACTTACAGCTTATGGACTGCAGCAGTTGAAGAAGGTAGCGCATCACCACCTTCTCAAGGACAACTAGGCACAAGAATAAAATGCTGGCCAGCCAGTGACACCCACGTACCAAAGTGAATAGAAAAAAAGAGACTTTACTTCAAAAGTAGCTTACTAAAGTTTTGGGGTAGCCTGAAAAGATAACAGATTCTTTAGGTTCTTTCCTCCATAACCCATTACTCGTTTTAGACCTGTAGAACATAGAACAGTCCAGCACAGTACAGGCCCTTCAGCCCACAATGTTGTGTCAACCTATTATCCTACTCAAAAGATCAAAACTAACCTGCATACCCTTCACTTTACTATCATCCACGTGCCTATCCAAGAGTCACTTAAATGTCCCTAACGTATCTAACTCTACTGCCAACGCTGGCAGTGCATTCCACGCGCCCACCACTCTGTGTAAAGAACCTACCTCCAATCACCTTAAAATTATGCTCCTCGTGATAGTCATTTCCACCCTGGGAAGAAGTCTCTAACTATCCACTCACCATATACATATGGTGACGATAAGGGCAGGTCAGAGGCTAGGAGTGAGTAATTCCTGGCATATATCTATGCTTCTCATCATCTTGTCTACCTCTATCAAGTCACCTGTCATCCTTCTTTGCTCCAATGAAAAAAGCCCGAGCTCCCTCAACCTTTCCTCATAAGGCCTGCCCTCCATTCCAGGCAGCATCCTGGTAAATCTCCTCTGCACCCTCTCCAAAGCCTCCACATCCTTCCTATAATGAGGCGACCAGAACAGAACACAATATTCCAAGTGTGCTCTAACCAGGGTTTTATAGAGCTGCAGCATAACCTTGCGGCTCTTCAACTCAATCCCCCTGCCAACGAAAGCCAACACACCATACGCCTTCTTAACAACCCTATCAACTTGGGTAGCAACTTTGAGGGATCAATGGACGTGGACCCTCTGTTCCTCCACACTGCCGAGAATCCTGCCATTAACCCTGTATTCTGCATTCAAATTTGACCTTCCAAAATTAATCACTTCATGCTTTTCTGGGTTGAATTCCACCTGCCACTTCTTTGCCCAGCTCTGCATTCTGTCAATGTCCCGTTGCAACCTACAACAGCCCTCCACGCTGTCCACAACTCCACCAACCTGTGTGTCATCGGCAAACTTACTAACCCACCCTTCCACTTCCTCATCCAAGTCATTTATAAAGATCACGAAGAGCAGAGGTCCCAGAACAGATCCCTGAGAAACACCACTAGTCACTGAGCTCCAAGCTGAATACTTTCCATCTACTACCACCCTCTGTCTTCTATTGGACAGCCAATTCAGTATCCAGACAGCCAAATTTCCCTGAATCCCATGCCTCCTTACTTTCTGAATGAGCCTACCATGGGGAATCTTATCAAATGCCTTGCTAAAATCCATATACACTACATCCACTGCTCTACCTTCAATGTGTTTTGTCACATCCTCAAAGAATTCAATAATGCTTGTGAGGCATGACCTGCCCCTCACAAAGCCATGCTGACTATTTCTAATCAAATTGTGCTTTTCCAAATAATCATAAATACTATCTCTCAGAATCCTTTCCAATAATTTGCCCACCACAGAAGACAGACTGATTGGTCTGTAATTCCCAGGATTATCTCTTTCCCTTTCTTGAACAAGGGAATAACATTTGCCACCCTCCAGTCATCTGGTACTACTCTAGTGGACAGCGAGGACACAAGGATCGTCACCAAAGGCGCTGCAATCTCTTCCCTTGCTTCCCATGAGCAACCTTAGGTAAATCCCGTCCAGCCCAGGGGATTTATCTATCCTCATGTTCTTCAAAGTTTCTTGCACATCCTCCTTCCTAATATCAACCTGCTCGAGCATATCAGCCTGTTTCACGCTGTCCTCACAAGCTACAAAAGGTCCCCCTCACTGGTGAATACTTATGCTGAATGTATATTCAGCAGGGCAGCATGGTGGCACTGCTGCCTCACAGCACCAGGGACCCAGTGTGGAGTTTGCACGTTCACCCCATGTCTGTGTGGGTTTTCTCTGGGAGCTCTGGTTTCCTCTCACATTCCAAGGATGTGCAGGTTAGGAGGATTGTTAAAATGCCCATACTGCCCAGGGATGGGTAGATTAGACGATTAATCATGGCAAATGCAGGATTGCAGGGAATAAGGTAAGGGGGTGGGGTTGGGTCTGGGTAGGATGCTTTTCAGAGGGTTGGAGAAAACTCAATGGGCCGAATGGCCAGCTTCCACATTGTAGGGATTCTATGTATGGAACTACAATAAATCTAAATATTTTAATTACATGTTCCTTTTAGTCAATTCATGCCTTAAATTTAACTTCTCCTATATAGCTAGAATCAGTTTAGTGTCTTGGTTAGCTATATTGTTCACAACAGATATTGATTTGCTCTTTTTGGGTACTTAAGACTGATGGAAGAATTCAAGGTATACCACATTATCTTCAATCCATCAAGCTTCTTGCTTCAAGAATCTTTGTTTGTGCTCATTGTATTTAGGCTACATATTTTGTAGATAAATGCTCTTCAGCAACAGTAACTGAGCAGTGATTATTTCTGATACATTAGCCTATACGAAGTGGTGAGTAAGGGAGACACAGATTTGGAACTGGCATGTTTTAAATCCTCTCCTGCACAGATTAATCAAGTCCACTATTCATTTATTTATATTAAAACACTCTTACTGGAAAGTTATTAGAAGCAGAGAGCTAACTACATTGGGGAATCTAATGATAATGGTTAGAGACATTTGGCCTTTTATTTGCACAATTTTGTCAATTATTTAACTGTCTAAACATACAACAGAATAGAAAAGTGCATGGGGCAGAGACAAGCTGTATCACAAGAAAAAAAAAATTAATGCTATTAAAATAGAAGAAACAAATATAATCTACTAACATACAAAAACAGATTACTTCATATGGGGTTGTATGTGAACTCATTATCCATTAGTTTCACAAGCTAAGTTTTCCTGATATTCACTGTGACGTTATTGTATATAGAGAGTCATAGAGTTCTACAACATGGAAACAAACCCTTTGGTCCAACTCGTCTACGCCAACCAGACATCTCAATCTGACGTAGTCTCATATCCCTAAACCATTCCTATTCTTATACCCAACCAGATGCCTTTTAAAGGTTGTAACTGTACCAGCCTCCACCACTTCCTCTAACAGCTTGTTCCATTTATGCATTACTTCTGCGTGAAAAAGTTACCCCTCAGGTCCTTTTTAAAATCTTTCCCCTCTCACCTTAAACCCATGCTCTCTAGTTTTGGACTCCCTGACCCTAGGGAAGAGATCCTGGCTACTCACCCTATCCATGCCCCTCATGATTTTATAAACCTCTACAATGTCACCGATCAGCCTCCAATGCTCCAGGGCCAAAAAGGCCCTAGCCAATCAGCCTCTCTCCATAGCTCAAATCCTCCAATCTTGGAACATCCTTGCAAATCTTTCGACACCCTCTCAAGTTTAACAACATCTTTCCTAATGAAGGATGACCAGAATTGTATGCAGTATTCTAAAAGTGGCCTAACCAATGTCCTGCACAGCAGCAACATGATCTCACAACTTGGATACTCGATGTTCTGACCAACTAACTACCTTCTTCACCACCCTGTCTTCCTGCAACTCCACTTTCATGGAACTATGCACCTGCACCTCTAGGTCTCTCTGGCAGCACACCCCAAGATCTTGCCATTGACCATACACATCCTGCCTGGTTTGCCTTACGAAAATGCAAAACCACATGTTTATCTAAATTAAAGTGCCATCTGCCACTTCTTTGCCCATTGGCCCATGTGATCAAGGTCTTGTTGTACTCCGAGATACTCTTCTTCCCTATTCATTACACCACGTATTTTAGTGTTACCTGCAAATTTACTAACCATACCTCCTATTCACATGCAAATCGTTTAAAGAAGTGACAAAAAGCAGCAGACCCAGCACCAATCCTTGTGATCATAGGCCTCCAGTCCCAAAAGCAACCCTCTACCACCATCCTATTTCTCCTATCTTCAAGCCAATTTTATATCCATTTGGCTAGCTCTCCCTGGATCCCATATGATCTAACGTTATTAACCAGTCTACCATGCAGAACCTTTGAATGCTTTACTCAAGTCCATACAATGTCTGCCGCTCGGCTTTCAATCTTCTTTGTCACTTATTAAAAAAAAAACTAATCAGTCATTGCCTTTCTAAACGCATGTAAATCCTGCCCATCAGAATCCCTTCCAACGAACCTACTCACCACTGACATAAGGCTCACCAGTCTACAGTTCTCTGGTTTTCCCTTACAGCCTTCATTAAATAACAGCACCACATTAGCCAACCTCCAGTCTTCCGCCATCTTACCAGTGGTTGTCAGTGATCCAACATCTCAGCAAGGGGCCCAGAAATCTCTTCCCTACCTTCCCACAAAGTTCTAGTAAACACCTAATACATGTTGTCATCACATGGAATGCATGTGTAACATCTTATGCAAATATAGCAATAGGCATGTACATGTTAAGGCTTGTATATTTTTGAAATGGGGTTCAGCAGTGGAGGGTCAAGATGCATGGGGGTGCGGGGGAGCAGAGTTAGTGACGTGAGGATTGGGGGTGGGGAAGGCAAAGAGGATCAGAGCAGGTGGGAAGAGTGAGAATCAGAGGCGATGGGGAAGTGTGTGGGAGTGCCTTGAGTGGGATGGAGGGTGGCGAGCAAGAAGAAAGTGCAGTCCTACCATTTAACGCTTGGTACATGTATTCTCCAGCTTTTTCAGCATCTGAAACCGCTGCACGCAGTTTTGGCATAAGAAATCTTCCATGTACTTTGAGTGAATGAGATCTTAACTGTTCAATTACTGGGGTGGAGTACGAACACCTCGGGCATCTATAATTTCCACCTTCTGCAACATTCATATAGAAAAACTACATTCAACTTTTAACACAATTATGCGTCACTTTATTCACAATAATATTTTCTCATACAATTAATCTGATAAAAGTGAATGCTCCTTTCTCTAACTTCAATAAAACTGAATTTTCAAGTGTTTACCTACTATATAATGTTACTGCGGCCTAAAAACATAACTCACATGAAAAATCCAAGTATTTATTGTATCAATAACACAATTATTGCAGGTAATTCTGTGTAGTAATACTCTTGGAAGCAGTTTAGTTTAGTAACTTTGCTCAGTCAGAACTGCTCTAAACGGTCTTTAAAATTAGCCAAGCTTAATGAAAGCTAAGATTTGACGACAATCCTAAGCAAGAAGTCAAAATACCTGAGCTAGTAATCTGGATGTCATTTTTCAAGCCGCTCTTTCTTTTTCTAATTTGGGTAAAAGGAAGAAAGGGTTAGCTTTTTACACATAATCCAAGGCCCCTCTTTTACCATGCTGTTCTTGACCCTTCAAATTGATTTTTAAAAAAGCAATATATTATCTAAATAGAAGAGGTTGCTGAGTTCTAAGATGCAAAGGGGCCTGGATGTCCCAGTGCATGAATAAAAACAGGTTAGTATGCAGATACAGCAAATAATTTGGAAAGCTAATAGAATGTTATCATTTGTTGCAAGAGGAATTGAATACAAAGTTAGGGAAGTTATATTTCAGTTATTCAGAGCATTGATGAAACCATATCTGGAGTAGTGTGTGTAGTATTGGTCTCCTTATTTCATAGAATCATACAATCCCTCCAGAAAACAGGCCATTCAGCCCAACAAGTCCACACCACCTCTGAAGAGCATCCCACCCATTCCCCTACCCTTTCTGTAATCCTACATTTCCCATAGCTAATCCACCTAATTTACACATTCCTGGACACTACGGGCAATTCAGCACGGCCAATCCACCTAACCCGCACAGCTTTGGACTGTGGGAGGAAACTGGAGCACCAGTGGAAACCCATGCAGACACAGGGAGAATGTGCAAACTCCACACACAGTCGCCCGAGGGTGGAACTGAACCTAGGTACCTGGCACTGTGAGGTAACAGTGCTAACTATTGAGCCATCGTGCCACCCTTTTAGGAAGGGTGTGAATTCATTGGATGTAATTCCAAACATGTTAACCAGAACAAACCCTGGAATAAAATCGGTTTGTCTTATAAGGCAAGGTTAGATGGTGGTTGTATCAATTGTGTCCACCCCAGTCCAACACTGGCATCTCCACATCATGGTATCCAATGGAGATTAAGAAAAGCAAGATATGACTTGATTGAAATAAATATCTTGGAGGGGTCTTGACGGGATGCATGTGGAAAGATTGTTTCCTACTGTGGAGGAATCACAAACTAAGGGTCACCATTTCAAAATAGGGATTGCCCGTCTAAACCAGAGATTTAAAAAAAAAAATCTTTTTCTCACAGAAGGTTCTAAGTCTTTGGAAGTCTTTCTCAAAAAGGTGGTGGAAGCAGTCTTTTAAATTTTTTTTAAAGGTGGAGTTGGATGAGTTCTTAGCAAGGGGGTAAAAGGTTATCAGGAATGGGCAGGAATCTGATGTAATTAGATCAGCTGTGATCTTACTGAATGGTGGAGCAGGTTCAAGGGGTTAAGTGGCCTAATTCTGCTCCTAATTTATATGTTCATATTATTGCAAGACCTTCCAAGTATTTTAATCTGTTTTAGTTCATTTTCACAACTTGACAGCATGCAGAAAGATTTAAAATTTTGCACTTTTAGATGTTGCAAACAAATTGCTCCCTTCAAATTCATATATGAAGTCACTTGGTGGTACAAAACTTTAATATTGCTGAAGACTGGGCAGGGGACAGGAAGAGAAGAGACAGACAGCCAGAAACATTTTACCAAGGCTTCTTGTCTTGCAGTTGCAGTCATCAGGACAAATGCAAGGAAGCCAAATTTCAAAATACAACTCTGGCCAATTTGTTACCGTGAAGCAAGCAACAAGTAACTTCTTTTAAAAAATAAATTCATTCATGGGTATGGGTTTTGATCCGGTGACACTCAGGGATAGTGATATGGTTTCAAGTCAGGATAGTGAGTGGCTTGAAGGGGAACTTGCAAGTGGTGGCGTTCCCATGTATCTGCTGCCCCTATCCTCAAAAGGCAGTGGTTGTGGGTTTGGAAGGTTTTGCCTAATGGTGACGTTTGAAGCACATTTTGTACCTGGCACCCACTTCTGTTTTTCGGTGTTGGCGGTGGAGGGACTGAATGTTTTTAAGATATTCGTGGAACCATAAGCTTCCCAAGCTCCTAGGCAATTCAAATAAGGATACAAGGTTTGAATGTATTTATTCCATTTGTAGACAATGAGTTCTTGCATATGAATGCATGCTGTTTTCATAAACTGAAAATGTACCACATTGAGGTCACGTGTTTTCTTAAGTCAGTTGTCAGTGCAGCTATTGGCATACTCAGGATTATTCAGCAACTATGCCCATTTACAAAGTTACAACTAACTGTAAGACATTTTGTTTTGGTCACGTATGCTCTGTACTCTGCCTATTATGAACAACTAAACATTCCTGTTTGATTTGATTAGCTCGTCATGAGAACACATGGCCCATGTACCTGCCAATACACCCGCACTGAAATTCTTTATTTGACTGCTGATGCGATGCCAGGTACATAGGCAGGCTGTAGAAAATAACTAATTGAGGATAAACAAACTGGTATAGTGATAGAGTCCTGAAGCTTTAGGAGTTTATATTTAGGTTTAAATTTAGGACTAAGAGTAGAAGTGGTTAAGTGCAGTCAGATCTATGTGCGAAAGTCTCATTTTCAGAAATTATCAGAATTATCATTTATTCAGAAATGATCAAAGTGGACTATATTTCCAATGTGTAAGGAATGTAGCATTAACACAATTAATTGAAGTGAAACATCATTTGCCAACATGCATTGGGAACATAAACAAATCACATTTGAGTAAATAAATCAGCATTACCTGCTCTTCGTAACAGGATGATGGCATGTTTTGGATGTTAAGTGAATCTTTTCATGGTTACGAAGTCCTGCCAGAGCTTTAAAAAGCCGTGCACATTGCCCACAACGATATCCTTCCACTGCAGCACTGTGCTTCACCGTACTGTCCAAGTACGTTTCTTTCACCTGGGAAGTATGATCTCCGCTCAACACCTCATTTCCTGTTGTCTTAAGTGTTTAAAATGGCATTAATTTTCCAGCAAATAACTAAGAGGGATGTTTTATACTGCACTCTTAAAATATCTAAAATTTGCAGTTTAACGCTCCTATTGTAGACAAAAACTTCTCAAATCAGGCAAAAGTGACTACCCTTGACATCAAGGCAGCAATTGACCACATGACATCAAAGAGCTCTTGTAAATCTGGGTCAATATGAAGCAAGAGGAAAAACACTCCACTGTTCAGAGTCATATCTGTTGTATATGGGTCTAAAACTGAGGAGTGGGCAAAGCAACCTAGGACCTCAAAGAATAGACATTTGGGCCTCTACAAAGTCTCAGTAAAAATAACTAATTGCTATGATAAACATAAGTTATGCTGATAACATGCACTAAAGCACGGGTGCAATTTCCCCTCCCTGGAGGTGATGAGGGAAAATAATCGCATGCATTTGTTCTGTTGAGAAAATTAGCCCTTTCTTCCCAGTTCTGCAGTTAAGTGCTGGATGAGAAAGTCCATGGGCATGTTTCAGTTCTCCAGCAATTAAAACCCTTAAGTGGGCAATTAATGTCAGTTCAAGAGCCTCAACTTGCCCCCAACTGATCACCTACCTCTCCAGTGAGCAAGGAAGGCGACTACTTGCTTAACTGGAAAACCATGGCAACCTATGGCCGAGTGGTATTATCGCTGGACTGTTAATCCAGAGATCCAGATAATGTTCTGGGGACCCAGATTCGAATCCAACCATGGCAGATGGTGGAATTTGAATTCAATAAATATCTGGAATTAAGAATTTAACGATGTCCATAAATCCATTGTCAATTGTTGGAAAAACCCATCTAGCTCATTAATATCCTTTAGGGAAGGAAATCTGCCATCCTTACCTGGTCTGGCCTACATGTGATTCCAGATGCACAGCAGTGTAGTTGACTCATAACTGCCCTCTGGGCAATTTGGGATGGGCAATAAATGCTGCCTAGCAGCAACGCCCTCATCCCATGAATTAATAAATAGAAAATAAAAAAGATTTGGGGACTTTTGATTTCCCCAGATATTGGCAATTGGAGGTATGGATTACTGGGCAAGAGAGTGGCTTCTGGAAAAAAAAAATCATCCTGCACCCCACTCGACAAAAAATTTACCTTCACCACTGACCACACTCAGGCTCAAGCTTAGAAAAGAGAAGGGAACATTACATCCTATATTTTGTTGACTTGAGAGAGATTATTCTACTTAAATCAGTAGATTTTAATAGAATCCCTACAGCATGAAACAGGCCATTTGGCTCAACTAGTCCACTCTGAAGAACATTCCACACAGTCCCACCCCCCTACCCTATCCCTGTAACCCTGCATTTACCAAGGCTAATCCACCTAGCTTGCAGATCCCTGGACACTATGGGCAATTCAGCATTGCCAATCCACTTAACCTGCACATCTTTGGAAATAAGAAATAAGGAAACCAAAGAACCCAGAGGAAACCCAAGTAGGCACGGGGAGAATGTGCAAACTCCACACAGTCACCCAAGGGTGGAACTGAACATGGGTCCCTAGCACTGTGAAGCAATAGCGCGAACCACTGAACCACTATGCCACCCCATTCATCGTGATGATCTATGGCTTTATTGGTAGCAACTGTGAATTCTTCCTCAACCACACTACACCAGACAGGACCTGTACTTCCCTACACTGAAGAGGATTAGGGCAGCAACCTTTCTTACAAGCAGCAGCTTGCACAGCATAGTGAACTGGCACGTCTATTCAGCAATACTGAGCACAAAGAAACAGGGCTGCGATTGTTGAAAGCCATTTGTTCCCAGTCCCTAGACTTCTCTGCGGGGCTTCCTGGCCCAACCATCAGCTGCTTCATTAATGAACTTCCGCCTATCAAAGTCAGAAAGAGAAATGCTCAATGATCATTGCAGTGTTCAGCACCATTTATGACTCTTAGGATACTCAAGTAGTTACAGTCCATATTAGCAAGACCTGGAAAACATTCAAGCTTGGGATGACAAATAGCAAATAAGTTCTGTAACACACAGTTTCAGGAAATCACCAATGAGAGAGAATTTAACCTATCTCCCTGTTCATGTTCAACTGCATTTCTGTTGCTGAATCTTCCGATAACAACATTGAGGGGTTACTATTGATGAGAAACTTAACTGGACCATCCACATGAATATTATAGCTGCAAAAGCTATTATAGAAAGAACATTCTGTGATGAGTAACTTCCCTCCCGATTCCCAAAAGACTGTCTACGATCAGTAAGGTAGAAGTCAGCATTGCAATGCAATAATTTTGATTTGGTTGGTAGAGTGCAATACAACTCAATCTAGAGTAAAGCAGCCTGCTTAATTGTCACTCAATCCACAACTTTTAAACATTCACTCTCTCCAACACCAGTACAGTGGCAGTTGGGTGCATTACACACAAGAAAGATGTGTTGCAGCAACCTGCCAACACTTCTTTGACAGCACCTTCCAAACCTGTGACCTCTACCACCTAGAAGGACACAGCAGGAGATACAGCACCTGTAAGTTCCCCACCAAGCAACACATCACTCTGATCTGGAACTAAATCATTGCTCCCTCCCTGTGGCTGGGTCAACATCTGGAACTTCTTCAGGGTATACATATAGCAGCTCAAGGTGGTGGCTCATTATCATCTTCAAGGGCAAATGGGGATAGACAGGAAATACTGGCCTTACCAGCAATGCCCATAGAAAATCATCATATGTGCTCTGCTCAAAACAGGTCCTTGGTTCATAGTCCTCTCCATATCTGCGTCCTCTGCCAGTCTTTTCATTTCCCAATATCTTCCTACAATTTTCACATAACCCAGAAGAGACAGTTTTGATTATGATCATCCAACTTGAAGTTTTCCCACCGTGCCATCTCTTTCAAATCCAGCTCCTCTCAAGATATGCTCTGCACAGCCTCTGCCTGAGTTTAGGAAACATCTTTATTTGCTCTTTGTTCTTAGAACCATTTCACCTGTTA